TAAGAACCAAGAGAGATTATGTAAAGGTGCAAATTTCCAACGATGAATGTCATTATATTGTATACCTAAAATGTACCAATAAAATAAAATTTAAAAAAAAATATGTTCTTTGGTCAAACTCACAAAACAAATGCAAATTAAAATGGCACAGAAATGAACAAAGATATAGGTCTTTTGCAAATGGGAAGAAAACCAAGAGATGGAGGGAGGAGGGATGAAAGGAAAAATTAAGATGTGTTACGTACATGCACTAACTCCTCACACTGAAGACAATCATTGTATACTGCAAACACACACGGTAAAAATAAAAAAATTTTTAAATAGCACAGAAATGGAAGGAATACTGGATGTTCCACGTTGATAACAATGAAAACGTTTGATAACATTGATGTTACCAGGCCGTAACAAAAAAATTCTTTTATACATTGCTGGTGGGAATATAAATTGAGATAACCTCTATGGGAGACAAAATATAACAGTTATCAAAACTGCAAATGTAGGCCTGGGATTTAGCTCACTGGTTCCACTGCCTGCCTCGAAATCGCAAGGTCCTGAGTTCAATCCCCGGTACCAAAAAAAAAAAATTGCAAATGTACCTCTGAGCCAATAATTTGATTTCAAAGAATCCATTCTACAACTTCCTCTGTGTGTGCGTGTGCGTGTGTGGGTGCGCGCGCATGTACATATACGGAATAGTCGTTATCTACAGCATTTTTTGGTTTTGTTTGTTTGATTTTTTTTTGAGACAAGGTCTCGCTTTTTAGTTTAGGCTGGCAATGAACTCACTATGTAGCCCAGGCTGGCCTCAAACTTGCAGCAATCCTCCTGCCTCTGCCTCCTAAGTGCTGGGATCCCAGGTGTGCGCCACCACGCCCGGGTTTCTTTCTTTTTTTTTTTTTTTTGTAGCACTGGGGAAAAAACCCGGGGCCTCTGCTGCACCCGCTAGTCTTTTTCTTTTTTTCGTTTGAAACAGGACCTTGTTAAATCATTAAATTGCCCAGGCTGGGCTAGAATTTGTGATGCTCCTGCCTCAGACTCCCAGAGTGTTGGGATTACCGGCATCCACCATCACGCCCACCTACCAAAGTGTGTTATAGTAAACATTTGGAAACAATCTAAAGAACAACTAGGGCTGGGGATTTAGCTCAGTGGTTCTGCCGCCTGTCTCGCAAGTGCAAGGACCCAAGTTTGATCCCCGGTACCAAAAAAAAAAAAGCATCGTTAAAGAACAACTAAAACTAACAAGAGTTAAATAAATTACGGTACATCCATACCTAAATATAATGCAGTTGCAAAGAGAGCCAGTTTTACTTGCACGAAGATGGAACAAAATAAGATATAAGAAAAGAGTAGGGCAGGCCATACTTTTGAGTGAAATAAATAGGACACACGTGTGAGTATCGAACAGCTTCTCTGGTGTGACAAACTGAAAGTGTAAATGAGGATCAAAATGTATAATAGATAATGTGAAATAGGAAAAAAAGAGTCCAAAGGGGAAGGGGACATAGGAGGGGTAGGGGAAAGGAAAGAAGGGAATGGAATTAATATGAGAAAAGGAAAAAAAATGGAAACAAAGTCTTTGTAAATAGGGAGGGGTGGAGGGGTTGAAGGCAGGGCAGGGGAAGGGGGAAAAATAAAAACCAAGATACATCATGAAAGGTACAAATTCCCAATGATTATATTATTACTAGGTGGAATATTTTTTAGATATCTATTAAGTTTATTTGTTGGAAGGGGTTTTTTTTTTGGAACCGGGGATCAAACTCGGGTCCTTGCGCTTGCCGGGCAGGCGGCAAAACCACTGCGCTAAATCCCCAGCCCCCAAATTCCCAATGATGAATGTCATATTGCATACCTAAAATGTACCAAAAAACGTAAAAAAAAAAATTTATATATAGATAAAATCAAAGGCATTACTAAACTGTAAAAAAAATAAAGAGCAAGGCAGAAGCGCACAGAGACTTAGAAGCATTTGTGTGCTTTTTAAGCACGTCATACACATATATGCTAATCTATAAATGAATGTGGTATATTTCTGTAAACATATACAAGTACCATGTAATGGTGGCTGCCTCTGGAGAGGAGAATTAGGCAGTTAGGAAATCAGGGGTGGAAGGGAAACTTACTTTTAATTATAATCTTATGTCCCTTTTTGGATTTTGTACCATGTCATTCAAAATATAAATACAATCCTAAAAGTCAACAAAATTGCAAACAGTCTTCTACAGGTTAACACACTGGATATTGCTTCTCCTTGCTGGAGTGGTAAATCTCCACAGTGCACCTAATCCCAGAACAAAAGAATCTGAATGAAGCACCAGAGGGCTAAGGATCTCACCGATGCTTAGCAGCTCCTTAGCTCTTCCCTCTCCCTCTTCATCGCCCGTCTCCTCGTCCACTCACCTGTTGTCTTGGTTCCTCAAGTTCTCTCTGCATATTTTCTATCACAGCCACAGCCTCTTCTCCGCTTTCAGGGTGGTGTTCTCTCACCCAGGCCCGGAACTCTTCAGGCAGGATGCTCAGGAACTGTTGCAGCACCAGAAGCTCCAGGATCTGCTCCTTGGTGTGCAGCTCAGGCCTCAGCCACTCACAGCAGAGCACCCGGAGCTGGCTCAGGGCCTCCCGGGGTCCTGATGCCTCATGGTACTGGAAATGCTTGAAGCGCTGATAAAAAGTCTCAAACGTTGGCGGATTGTACTCCTGCATCCAAGTACAGTCTTCTTCTTCCACCTTCACTATTAGAAGATCTTCCTGCTCTTGCGAAGGCTCAACTGGAGGGTCCAAGTCTGTAACTTCCCGGGAGTCTGTCATTATCATTCCAACTCGGAGGGAGGTCCCTCGAGGCTGGTTATTACTCTGACCCAATTTATTTTCTGCTCTTTAAGATCCTCCGAAGGGCACTTTCAGTAATGTACAGCCTACTGATACATAGGGAATCATTATTAACAAACAGATGGCAAAGACGTCATCGCGACTAAAAATGACCATTCAACAAAGTAATTTACTGGAAAACATGCACTGTAAGGCAGTCGTCACTCCGTTCACTAATTATTAACAGAACACATACAAGATTTTTTAAAAGGCATAAAAATTTGACCTCAGGCCCAATCTAAAACATCGTTTTAGAAGTGACAAACTTCACATTTCATGTAAGTAATGGGACAAGACTTACTAATCCAGACGGAGTCGCTTCTTCTCTGTACCATAAACCAAACTTAAGTCAGAATAGGGGTGGAAAACATTAAAATGGTCATAACTGGCCCTGTTCGTCAAGCCATAAGAGCTTGACAGACCAATAGGAAACTTCATTGGTCCCTAAGAGAAGCAGAGTTATCACAGTTAAAGAGATCTGGATCCCTCGGAATCGTTCCTGACCCTGAGACAGACGGGCCTGGTGAAGGTGAGGGACAGGACTCCCTTTCGACACAAATCCCTACCCTCTGGCCCTCAAGTTTCCAGTCTAGGAGAGCTCTCTGAAAGATAATGCTCCCCGTAGACAAAGCGTGGAAGATAGGATTCTTCTTATAAACGGAGAGAACACTGACGCAGACACTTCCTAACACTTCCTCGCCGGAAGTAAGCGGGTCCAAGATTAAGCCTCAAATCCCACCCCCGAGAGCACTTCCGAGTCCTCTCTAGGAATCCCGGAGGTCCCAGCCTCACAACGGGCTGGGGTGCCGCCCCCAACCCCGCCCCAGCTAGAGAGCCTACCAATCGGTGTGGAGACGGGAGGCGTGCCCGGACCTCGGCCCGCCTTCCCCAACCCGGCCTCCTCCAGCTTCCTAAACTCCAAACCCACCCGGAGACACCGCCACCCTCTTCCCCAACCCAAGCCAGGGTACCTTGGAGGGAGAGAGGGCGGGGCCTTAGGGGGGCGGGCGAGATGTGCGAGTGTCTCATTGGCTGTAGCCCTTTGCACCTCCCCACCCCAAATGCTCTGCGCCTCTGTTCGAAAAAGATTTGTACCTGTCTTTATACAAGTCTCATCCCTCACTCGTTCTAAACTGTGGACTCTTCAGAATTTTTTCACCTAGATCCTCGCCATTTCTCTAACCCCCTTTCCAAACACAACCACCTTAGCCGGGCGTGGTGGCACATGCCTGTAATCGCAGCACTCGGGAGGCTGAGATAAAAGGATTGCCGCAAGTTCGAGGTCAGCCTGCCCTACATAGTGAATTCAAGGCCAGCCTGGACTGCACGGAGAGACCCTGACTCAAAAAAAGGGGGGGGGGGCGAGGATTTAACTCAGTGGCGCCGCGCCTGCCTTGCAAGCGCAGAGTCCTGAGTTCGATCCCCGGTACCAAAACAAAAACAAAGACAAAAACAAAAAACCACCTGGACCGTCGCTGTCGGGTCACTGAGCCAAAATCTACGTCATCCCCTTCCCTACCCCGCCCCGGCCACGTCGCGGGCGCCAGTGGCTCCTGGGACTACATCTCCCAGAAAGAACCGCGCGAGCGACGCCGACTGACCAATAGGGTCGCGGCTCTCCTTGACTCCTTGGTTTTGCAGGCCTATCAGAGTGCGTCAGGCCTGTCAGAGTGCGTCAGGCCTAGGGGCATGTGTCCGGGCGCTCGCCGGGTGAGCCGACTTCACTGCTGTGGGCTCCTAGCTGGAGCAGGAGGTCCCTGTGAGGACAGGCTAGCGGTACGCAGGGCATAATCTCTCACTTGGGTATCGTATCTTAGGTTTTCCACGCCCTTCGCAGTTTATAAAGCTTTCAGACAGGCAGGACAAGAGTTCCACACTTTAAGGGCACATAGAAACACACTGTGGTGCAACTGCAGACTCTCAAATACATTCGGTATGAGGAGGTTAGAAGACACTCCAGGGAGCCTAAAGTCATGCGTGATAGGTAGCTTCCCATCTAGGACCAAGCCGCTGGTGAAAGTCTGCATGGTAGAGTTGCATGTGTGAGTTGCCATTTAAACATAAAAACAGAAGAATATGTAATATAGAATTTTGCAGCTGTGGCTTAATCTTGCTTCTACTGAATTAGCTTAGTATGTACATAAAAGTTATCTAAGGTCCATAGCGACTTTTTCTAATATATTTACCTCCATTTAGATGGTTTACAAATGTTCCTTAAATTTTTGTTTTGAGACGGGGTCTCACTATGTAGTTCAGGCTGACCTTGAAATCAATACGTAGCCCAGGCTGGCCTCGAACTCGTGGTGATCTTCCTGCTTCAGCCTCCCTAGTGCTGGAATTATAGGTGTGTGCCACCACGCCCAGCTAAGTGTTCTTTACATTTTAATATTTACTTATAAAATAGATAATACACAGCTCATTCCCTATAGCACTGCATACTCACTCTCTTACTGTATGAATAGCATTGCATTCTTCAGGTATACTATTCTCTAATCCTTACTGGTGGGCACTGAATTTATCCCCATTTTTTCTATAGTAAACAGTGGTCTTCTATATACATATCCTTGTCTGTGTTTGTTGTTTTAAACGTCAAACATGCAAATATAACCATAGGATACATTCTTTTTTTATATAGGATACATTCTTACATGTGAAATTGAGTCAAAAGATCAGTTTCTTATATATTTGTATCTATATCTAAATATCTGATCTGTAGATAAATACTCTTATGAGAGAGTAGATAAATGCTCTCTTAGCAAAAAGACATCTGGAGGGATTATATTAGGTACAAATGTGTAGTGCAACTTTATTTTTCTCTTTTCTGCCCAGGAATGTCTAACAACTAAACACTGCTTTCCAAAACTCTAGGACAAGTTTTCATGTCTCACTACCTCAGGTAACAACGAACATTTTATAAAAGACCTTGCTAGGTAGCTGCCTTGATCTTTCCTGGATATTTCCCCTTTGACATTTTTAGCAACTCAAAAAACTACTATTACGTGACGAAATGTTATGCCAACCTAGTCGAAAGGAAGGACACACGTACTGTACAATTCATGAATCCCCACTTCACCCTCTCTTCTGACACCTGCTGGAAGTCCCGGAGAAAGACCATCCTCAGGATTGATAATTTTCTGGAAGAAATCAACTCACTGAAAGCCGTTAAACTCACACCGTGAAAAGATAAAAATTTAAATCAGGCCAGAGAAGCCAGATCCTCTGGCCCGTGCCTGTACTTCTATAACTGAGCCTGAGGCAAGAGGATTGCAAGTTTGGTCAGCTTAGTGACTTACTGAAATTTTTGTCTCTAAATTTAAAAAAATTTAAAAAGTGCTGGGATGTAGCCCAGTGGTAATGCTCTCTGGGCTGCATCCCCACAATCATGTTAAAAATAAAATCAGTTGCTGGGGATGTAGCTCAGTGGTTCCGCTGCCTGCCTCAAAAGCGCAAGGACCCAAGTTCGATCCATGGTACAAAAAATAAAAATAAATAAATAAAATCAGTTAAGAGAAGAGGCTTGTAGGATAGGATCTAAGTGTTCCAAGCTTGAAGCTTCCAGGTGTCTTTTCCTTGTGGATTGGTGAAGAAGTGCTAACATCCAGCAATGACATGTGATAGATAATACACATGCAGCATTGTCAACCAGAGAAGCTCACTTGAGTCTTAATGTCATAAGATTTTTTTGAAACAGTCACATGGGCATGGTTTACTGCTCTTATGGCTGATCTTAGACTCTAGCCCTCCAAAGGTCAAGCTGATATGCCATGGCCCAAGATATTGCCACCATAAATTACACTGTTAACATAGATTATCTGGCATAGACCAGTACCCTAAAGTAAATAAAGACATTTATCAAGCAGGGTACTCCAAGGGTTTAGAGAGTACTTCCCATTAACTGAAGTTAAAGATCAGACAGCTCTTTGGGCAAGGTTAATCGTTTACTGTATGTGTGGTTTTGCTTTTTGGTTTCTTTTTCTATGACTAATCTTAATATACTTTTATATCTGACTATAGAACAATTTGTAAAACTATGGACAACAGCTAAAATAGCTTTTTTTGTTTGGTTAGTTTTGTTTTTTTGTGTGTGTGTGTACCGGGGATCGAACTCAGGGACCTTGTGCTTGCAGGGCAGGCAGCGGCACCACTGAGCTAAATCCCCGGCCCTGGTTTTGGTTTTTTGAGACAAGGTCTCACTATGTCGTTCAGGCTGGACTTTAACCCATGACGTAGCCCAGGCTGGCCTCAACCCATGGCAATCCTCCTATCTCAGCCTCCCAAGTGTTGGGATTACAGGCATGTACCACCAAAACAGGTTTAAAATAGCATTTTTACAGTCAATTCTTACAAGACATTTTTAGGTCTGTTTATCACAGTAAACATGCCTGGGATTGACCTTAGACATATTAAAAAAAGGATGATACTTAGTTTTGGAGGTCTTGCCACCTAAATGTGACCTTCAATCATGCCCATTTCTGATTCCTTACCACTCTTACCCTGTGCTTTAATATTTCTTCTTGCACACCCTCTTGAAACCAACAGAATATGACTGAGTCCCCACTGTGTTCTAGGCACTGAGTATTCAGGAGTAACTAAGAGAGTAACTTTAAAAATCTCAGAATTTTTAAAAATATCCATCATATTTGGAAATGAGGTTTTTAAAAATAAATGTATCTTGGAGACATGGAGTAGCAGAATATTAGGGAACTTGAGACAGTGTCATTGAAAACTCCAAAGGGGAGGGACTTCAGAGTATTCTAGATAAACTTTCAAGAACTTTGTCTCTAAAGGGGAAGAGAGAGAGGCTTGCTCACTTAGAGGATTGTTTTTGTATGCTTATTTGTTTAAATAGGAGAAGTTTAAGCGTATTTAAATGATAGTGAAAAAGAACTAAGAGAGTGGAATATGGAATAAAGGAAGAGCAAATAAGTGATCTAGGGAGTTTCCTGGAAAACAAGAAGGCATAGGAGATCCATGGGAGATCCATGTGAAGCAGGAAAGATTGATCTTGGTTAGAGAGAGATGTATGGCTCTATTGTGAGCAAGGGGAGGATGAAAAATAGGCTGCTAGTAAGTGTAGGGGCATAACATTGGGTTACATAAACACCTACTATATTTTCCTAATAAAAATTTGTACTTGGGCCAGGGATTTAGCTCAGTGGTTCCACTGCCTGCCTCGCAAGCACAAGGTCCCAAGTTGGATCCCCAGTACCAAAAAAAAAATTGCACTTTTGCATTATAGTAGCCAGCCATGCATCTCAATAGCTGCACCTGAGGGATACAGGAAGCAATCTTTGTGTTTACCCACTTAATACAACAAACAGCTTGTGTGCAAAAGTGTAAAACCAAGATTTTTACCCACATAATGCTCCATGTAACATTTTTATGTTTCCTAGAGCATCATGGAGAGTAAAATACACCCACACCATTCATCTGTTATGTAAATATGTACTGTACCATAATGGAATGTGAGTGTGGGTCACAATGGCTGGACCTGGGGAATGAAAAAACCCACCTGTGCATTCATCTACTTGGCAGATGACTAGCAAAGTGTATACAGGAGCTCCAAAGCAGTAACAGGTATGCATTTAGGATTTTTTGTTTGTTTGTTTTCTTTGGATTTTCCTGGTAGAAGTAGCCCAATCCAGTACAACGGCACATGAAAAGCCAGATTTGCAAATTTTGGAAGAGGTCAAAAGTGAATCATCAGGTGACTTGTGCACAGATGATGATTATGATGA